TACATACACATATATATACATACATGTATATATACACACATATACACATATATGTATATATACACATATACACATATACACACATATATACACATATATACATATATGTATATATACACACATATATATACACATATATGTATATATACGTATACACACATATATACACATATATGTATATATACACACATATATACACATATATGTATATACACACATACACATATGTATATATACACATATACACATATATGTATATATACACACATATATACACATATATGCATATATATACACACACATATATATATACCCATATATGCATATATACATATACACATACACACATAACACATTTTACTTTAAGTCTGGGGTACATGTGCAGATTTTGCAGGATTCTTACATAGGTATACACATGCCATGGTGGTTTGCTGCCTCCATCCTTCTGTCACCTACATTAGGTATTTCTCCTAATGTTATCTCTCCCCAATCTCGCCACCCTCTGCTATCCCTCCCCTAGCCCCCACCCCCCAACAGACCACAGTGTGTGATGTTCCCCTCCCTGTGTCCATGTGTTCTCACTGTTCAACACCCACTTATAAGTGAGAACATGCAGCGTTTGGTTTTCTGTTCTTGTGTCAGTTGGCTGAGAATGATGGTTTCCAGATTCATCCATGTCCTTGCAAAGGACATGAACTCATCCTTTTTTATGGCTACATAGTATTCCATGCTGTATATGTGCCAAATTTTCTTAATCTAGTCTATCTTTGATGGGTATTTGGGTTGGTTCCAAGTCTTTGCTATTGTAAACAGTGCTGCAATGAACATATGTGTGCATGTGTCTTTATAATAGATTGATTTGTAATCCTTTGGGTATATGCCCAGTAATGGGATTGCTGGGTCAAATGGAATTTCGAATTCTAGATCCTTGAGGAATCACCACACTGTCTTCCACAATGGTTGAACTAATTTGCACTCCCGCCAGCAGTGTAAAAGTGTTCCTATTTCTCCACATCCTCTCCAGCATCTGTTGTCTCCAGATTTTTTAATGATCACCATTCTAATTGGTGTGAGATGGTATCTCAATGTGGTTTTGGTTTGCAATTCTCTAATAACGAGTGATGATGAGCATTTGACAAAGGGTTAATATCCAGAATCTACAAAGAACCAAAACACATATACAAGAAAAAAACAACCCCATCAAAAAGTGGGCAAAAGGTATGAACAGACACTTTTCAGAAGAAGTCATTTATGCACCTAACAAACAGAAGTGCGTTAAGTTACTTAATCTCCAAATATTTTGAGATTTTTCAGCTTTCTAGTTTGACTCCATTGTGATCTGAGGGTATACTTCATATGATTTCTATTTTTTTTTTTTTTTTTTGAGACAGGGTCTTGCTCTATCACCCAGGCTGGAATGCAGTAGGGTGATCTTGGCTCACTGCAACCTCCACTTCCTAGGCTCACAGAATCCTTCTGCCTCAAAATCTGGAGTAGCTTGGACTACACGTGTGTGCCATCATGCCCAGCTAATTTTTCTATTTTGTTTTAGTAGAGATGGGGGTTTCACCATTTTGCCCGAGCTGGTCTCGAACTCCTGACCTCAAGCGATCTGCCTGGCTTGGCCTCCCAAAGTGCTGGATTTATAGGTGTGAACCACCACAGCTGGGCAATTTCTATTCTTTTAAATTTCTTGGGATGTATTTAAGGCCCAATATGTTGTCTATCTTGGTGAATAGTTCATGTGAGTGTAAGTAGAGTGTGTATTTGGCTGTTGTTGGTTGACGTATTGTATAAATGCCAATTAGATCCAGTTGATTGATGATGCTTCTCAGTTCAACTGTATTCTTACTGATTTTCTGCCTGCTGGATTTGTCCATTACTGATACAAGGGCATTGGATTTTCCAACTATAGTGGTGGATTCTTCCATTTCTCATTGCAGTTTTATCAGTTTTTGCTTCACGTATTTTGAAGCTTTGTTGTTAGGTGCATGCACGTTAAGAATTGTTATGTCTCGGGCCAGGCGCAGTGGCTCACGCCTGTAATCCCAGCACTTTGGGAGGCCGAGGTGGGTGGATCACAAGGTCAAGAGATTGAGACCATCCAGGTCAACATGGTGAAACCCCGTCTCTACTAAAAATACAAAAACTTAGCTGGGCGTGGTGGCGCGTGCCTGTAATCCCAGCTACTCAGGAGGCTGAGGCAGGAGAATTGCCTGAACCCAGGAGGCGGAGGTTGCGGTGAGCCGAGATCGCGCCATTGCACTCCAGCCTGGGTAACAAGAGCGAAAGTCCATCTCAAAAAAAAAAAAAGAATTGTTATGTCTCCTTAGAAAATTGATCTCTTTATCTCTATGTAGTATCCCTATACATCCCTGATATTTTCCATGTTCTGAAGTTGTCTTTGTCTGGAATTATGTAGTTACTGCAGTTTTCTTTTGATTAGTGTTTGTATTGCTATACAGAAATACCTGAGACTGGGTAGTTTATAAGGAAAAGAGGTTTAATTTAAAAGGCTGTACAGGAAGCATGATGCTGGTATCTTCTCAGTTTCTAGGGAGGCCTCAGGAGGCTTACAATTATGGCAGAAGGCAAAGAGGGAGTCAGCATTTCACATGGTCAGAGAAGGAGGAGGAGGGGATGGGGAGGTGCTACACATCTTTAAACAACCAGGCCTCATGAGAACTCACTGTGGTAATGGCAATACCAGGGGGTGTTAGAACAGGAGAAACTGCCTCCATGATCCAACCACCTCACCCCAGGCCCCACCTCCAACATTAGAGACTACAGTTTGACATGAGATTTGGGCAGGGACACAGATCCAAACCATTATCAGTGTTAGAATGGGGTATCCTTCTCCACCCATTTATTTGTGATCTATCAATGTCTTCTTATTTAAAATGCACTTCTTGTCAATAACATATGATTTTTTTTACACTGAAAGTCTGTCTTTCAATTAGTGTATTTAGACAATTCACATTTGAAGGGATTGGTGTTATAGCTGGATTAATATCTACCATGTTTTTTAAAACTGTTTTCTATTTTCATTTGTACTTGTTTTCTTTTTCCCTCCCTCTCTTTTTTTCTACATTTTCTGGTTTCAACTGAGCATTTTATGTCATTCAATTTATTTCCTTTTTTAGCATGGCAATTATACTTCTGTTTGAAATTTTCGAGGTGGTTCCCATGAGTTTGTGATACTCATTTGCAACTGATCTATGTCTTCTCTCAACTACACTAGACCACTTCATGGGTAGTTCAGGTACATTTTAACAGAATCGTTTGAATTACTTCCTCCCATTCCTTATAAAAATTGCTCTGATTCACTTCAGTTATCCATGTGCTATAATTACCCAATACATTTTTGCTATTATTATTTCAAACAGTTATTTTTTTTAGCTCAGGTAAGATTAAGAAAAATACAGATTTTATTTTAGTTTCATTTATTCCTTCTCTGCAGCTCTGTGTTTCTTTATATGATCCAAATATATGGCCTAGCTAATCCTCCTCCTTGGTGAAGAACTTCTTTAATATGTCTTGCAAGGTGGGTCTACTGGTAACAAATTTCCTCAGTTTGTTTGTCTGAGAAAACCTTTGTTTCCTCGTTATTTTTGAGGGACAGCTTCACTATGCAGAGTTATAGGTTAATGTTTTATTCTTTCAATGCTTTAAATATTTATTTCACTCTCTGCTCCAGTGGTTTCTGGTGAGAACTCCAGTGTAATTATTCTTCATATTCTTCTACAGGTTCGGTATATTTACTCCCTGGTTACTTTCACAGATTTTCTCTTTGTGTTGATTTTTCCTTTTTGGTAGTTTGAATATCATATGCTTAGGTATAGATATTTTTGAGCTAGATTATATAAATTTTTATATCAATATTTGTTTTTGTGGTTTTTTTTGAAACAGAAGACTAATTTATTATTAGTATGAAAGGGATTGGGCCGGGCGCGGTGGCTCAAGCCTGTAATCCCAGCACTTTGGGAGGCCGGGGCGGGTGGATCACGCGGTCAAGAGATTGAGACCATCCTGGTCAACATGGTGAAATCCCATCTCTACTAAAAATACAAAAATTAGCTGGGCATGGTGGCGCGTGCCTGTAATCCCAGCTACTCAGGGGGCTGAGGCAGGAGAATTGCCTGAACCCAGGAGGCGGAGGTTGCGGTGAGCTGAGATCATGCCATTGCACTCCAGCCTGGGTAACAAGAGCAAAACTCCATCTCAAAAAAAAAAAAGAAAGTGATTAACAATAGTTGTCTCATTATTCTGATTTATGCATATTCAAAAGTCACCTGCTCAGAAAACTGCAGACCCACAGTTTCTAACAATCCCTATTAAACCATTAAGAAAGGATTTATAACAATAAAAGTTATATGTACATAGGAAAGATCAGAGAGTAGAAAGTGCTAAGCAGAGGTACCCAGAAAAGCTTTCTGTGACTGAAATAATACTTCCTGTCCAAGGCTCAGGAATAAGATGCTTCTGGGGCTGAGAAATTTACATGAGAAACCTTTGGTATCCAAACTGGACTCCTGAGCTCTTTGCTGTGCCATTTTTGGCTCGGCTAAAGCAATCAGTTGGAGAAAGCAACACTGAGGAGGAGGAGGAGAAAGGAATTCTCAACCTCGGACCAATCTCTGTCTCCAGGGTTAGGACTGAGAACAAATGCACTCAAGGCCTGGCCCTGAATGGCAGTGGGACAACTTGGAAAACCAATGATTTAGTGTCGAGTCAGGTCTGTTGCCAATGTCTAGGTTGGCTCCATCCCAGGGAGCTTGTACTGAAGACCCCGGAAGAACGATAGGCGAGAGGACGATACAGCTAAAGTTATGTGACGTAAAGGTAGTCACCCACAGGATGGCACCAGAAGCTCTTAACAGTGTCCTTCAGATAAGTGGGATGACTCCACTGTTAGTGGCAGCAGGGCTGAGTAAATCTCTAGGAATTTCAGGTTAGGCAGGATCCTGACTCATATAACTCATGGTAAGAAGCTATAGGTTCTACTCTATAAAATCTCTGTATATATCCAGGAGGCTGGATGCCCATGGAGAGTGGCAGAACACGTGGTCTTCAAAGATCTGCCTCTCTCTTGCTGGGAGGGTCTTGCCACAAATCGGACGATTCAGACAAAGGGCCTGCATCTGCTCTGGCTCCAGGTGTGATCACAAATATCATCTGCTTTGCAGATGGGGCATTTCCTGATGGAGCGTGGGCTTGGGGAAGAGCTTTCTTGGGTACCAGAATATGGGTTTCCATAGGCAAGTCCTGGATTTTGTCCTGCGCCTCCTTCATCTGAAGTAGGTAGTTGATACGGCAAAGAGTTAAAATCCAGACCCATGTAACTGAGGATCATTTTCTCCTTCCAGTCTCCGTTTCTCTCTCTGCAGAACATTACATGTCATTTTGTTCTCAGTCAGTCTTCTTGACAGGTCAAAGTTTTCATCCAGTGCAGCCGCCCTGAGTTACCTGATCTGTTTGTGAAGTCATTAACACTCTTTTTTTTAAATTGCATTTTAGGTTTTGGGGTACATGTGCAGAACATGCAAGACAGTTGCATAGGTACACACGTGGCAGTGTGTTTTGCTGCCTTCCTCCCCTTCACCCACATTTGGCATTTCTCCCCAGGCTATCCCTCCCCAGCTCTCTGCCCCACTGTCCCTCCCCTATTCCCCCCAGTAGACCCCAGTGTGTAGTGTTCCCCTCCCTGTGTCCATGTGTTCTCATTGTTCATCACCCGCCTATGAGTGAGAACATGCAGTATTTCATTTTCTGTTCTTGTGTCAGTTTGCTGAGAATGATGTTCTCCAGATTCATCTGTGTCCCTACAAAGGACACAAACTCATCATTTTTGATTGCTGCATAATATTCCATGGCGGATATGTGCCACATTTTCCCAGTCCAGTTTTGTCAGGTTTATCAAAGATTGTATGGTTGTAGATATGCTGTGTTGCCTCCGATGCCTCTGTTCTGTTCCACTGGACACTTTATACTTCTCTGAGAAACAGGCTTTCCCGGCCTCTACCTTTGCCTTTAGGCGTTCCACCTGTGGTGCTAACTGCTCCTCCACAGTCAGGGCTGCTTTCTTGCTCCATTAATTCCTGTTGCTTCTTCATTGCAGTACTTTCATTCTGCTTCCTCTCTTCCACTGTCTGCTCGAGCTTCTTCTGGTCCTTCCTCTGCTCAGTTAAACTGAGAAAGGTGGTCATTTTCTTTTTTCAGATGCTCTAACTGCTCTGTCTTATCTTGATCTCCCTGAACAAGCTTCTCCATTTCTTTCTCTTGAGTTGGCAGCTGGGCCTGAAGCTGATCCACTCTGATTTCCATCTTCTTGTTTTCTTTTTTTTTTGAGATGGAGTTTCGCTCTTGTTGCCCAGGCTGGAGTGCAGTGGCGCGATCTCGGCTCACCGCAACCTCCGCCTCCTGGGTTCAGGCAATTCTCCTGCCTCAGCCTCCCGAGTAGCTGGGATTACAGGCACGCGCCACCGTGCTCAGCTAATTTTTTGTATTTTTAGTAGAGACGGGGTTTCACCTTGTTGACCAGGATGGTCTCGATCTCTTGACCTCGTGATCCACCCGCCTCGGCCTCCCACAGTGCTGGGATCACAGGCGTGAGCCACCGCGCCCGGCCTCCCACAGTGCTGGGATTACAGGCTTGAGCCACCGCGCCCGGCCCCATCTTGTTTTCTGAGGACATCTTCTGGTTTTGTTCTTTCAGTTGAAGCAGCTCTGTCTCCCAATAGTCATCCTGCTTTTTCACTTTCAGTTCCCACTTCTACAGATGCTCCGTAGGGTTTCTAGCTCCTCCGGCTTCTTTTGGAGCTCAGCCTGTTTCTGGAGGCTGACACAGCTGTCCTTCAGCTCCTGGTTTTCTTTGCAAGGCTCCTTTCAAAGGATTATGCTGTTGAATCTCTTCCACCTCTCCCTGAGTGGTAACAACCAGGATGTCTTCCTCATTTTCTGGACAGAATTGGAAAGGAATACTTGCTCCCCAGACCACGCCATCCTGATCACATGGCAGAACTGGCAATACTCATCATCCTCGGGCAGGTAGTAAGCTTTGCATTGGACTTCCTGCTGTTTGGCTGATTCGTTGTTTAGGTCGATGGGCAGAGTAACCCACATGAAGGTGTAATGCTCACGGGCTGTCTTCCATCCCACTCTAAAGATGCCAATGCAGTCCTTTCCACGAGGGATGAAATGCTGGGTGAAGGTGTAATGACATGTGACATCCCCTCCTGGGATGCAGAACTTCTCCACACTGTTAAAGATGACCTGAGAGAAATGACAGTGATCCAGCAAGACAATTGGGGGATTGGGGGATGTTCAATAGTCTTCTCCATGGTAGGGGTCCAGGGACAGCAGCCAGCAGCGGCAAGACAGCAACGGGCATATCAATATTTGTTGACATGTATCCTGCTTGGCATTTTCTGAGCTTCCGGAACGCGTTGTTTGGTGTTTGTGAATGATTTTGGACAACCCTCAGCCACTGTCATTTCCAGTATTCCTTTGGCTTCTTTCTTTCTTTTCCTTTGCGTATTTTCATTACATGTGTGAGTTACAGTTTTGAAATTGTCCCACACTTTTTGGATGTTCTGCTCATCTCTTCACTCTTTTTTCCCCTCTTTCTATTTCGGTTTGGCAGATTTTAATTCGCGTGTCTGTAAACCCAGCGATTCTTTCCTCAGCTGTGTCCGGTTCACCGATGAGCCCCGAAAGGTGTTCCTCATTTTGGTGATAGTGCATTCGATACGTCACATTTCCTTGGATTCTTTTAAAGCTTCCGTCTCTCTGGTTACATTGACGTGTCATTCACTTTTGCTCTTAGAGCCCTTAACACTTGACTCATAGATATTTTAAGTTCCACTTTTAATGATTTTCAAATCTTGCTTATATCTGAGTCTTATTCTGTGTTTTTCTCTTGCCTTTTAATTCTTTGTTACCAGCCAGACATGATGTATCAGGTAATAAAAACCGAGGTGATTAGGCTTTTGGTGTGAGGTTTCATATTAACCTGGCCAGGAGTTAGACTCGTGAATAATTGCTGTTGCTGCGTATTCCCGGGGATTTAGTTTTCTCGTTTTCCCTCCTCTGTTTGCTTACAGCTCTCTGGGTTGTAACACACTGTTACTATCCTGGAACCCCACTGAGGTGATGGTAAGGAGGGACAGATTCTGTAATTGTTTTTTTAATGGAGTCTCGCTCTGTCGCCAGGCCGGAGAGCAATGGCTCCGTCTTGGCTCACTACAAACTCCACCTCCTGGGTTCAGGCAATTCTCCTGCCTCAGCCTCCTGAGTAGCTGGGATTACAGGCATGCGCCACCATGCCCAGCTAATTTTTTGTATCTTTAGTAGAGACGGGGTTTCACCATGTTGACCAGGATGGTCTCAATCTCTTGACCTCGTGATCCACCCGCCTCGGCCTCCCAAAGTGCTGGGATTACAGGCGTGAGCCACCGCGCCTGGCAACGTTTTTTTTTTTAATGGAGTCTCACTCTGTCGCCAGGCTGGAGTGCAATGGCATGATATCGGCTCACTACAAACTCCACCTCTTGGGTTCAAGCGATTCTCCTGCCTCAGCATCCCGAGTAGCTGGGACTACAGGTGTGCGCCACCACGCCCAGCTAATTTTTGTATTTTAGTAGAGCAGGGTTTCACCATATTGGCCGGGATGGTCTCAATCTCTTGACCTCATGATCCACCTGCCTCGGCCTCCCAAAGTGCTGGATTACAGGTGTGAGACACCACGCCGGGCCAAAAGGTACAGACAGAGAAGCATAGCCAGCATTAGTTGACCTGAGACTAAAGCCACTGCAGCCTGTAAATGGCAGGCTCACCTTAATGCTTTCCCCTTTCCACAACACTGTCTCTGATCTTTACGGCAAAGGAACTGTTGGCTTCTTTTTGTCTCTCCTTACAGGAGACATGAAAAGCTACAGGGGGCTTGAGCAGGCCAGTCACTCTTCCTCCAGGTCAGACAAGGGGAAACTGTTGGATGTCGGGGCCTTTGCTAAGGAGAATTTTCTGGTCGTATTTCAAAATGATTCTTTCCCCCTCCCCTTTCTAAAGCGCTTTTCTCTGATCTTCATGGCGAGAACCTGGTGGGTTTCTGGAGGTGAAATGCGTGAACCTGTGTGGCAGTCTCCCTGAGACCGGGCCCCAGGAGTTTATAACCTCGAGCCAGTTCACACTCAGCCTCTGGTAATTTGTCGGATTAGCATTAAAGCAGCCCTGCTGTTTACAGGCTGCATTGGTTTCAGTCTCAGGTAAACCAATCTTGGCTCAGGTAAACCAAACTTCAGAGAGGCTGGGTGCTCTGTGGTCTCAGTTCCCTGACGGATCTAAGTCAACTCATTCATTTTCAGTTTGTCGAGAGGGGGTGACCTCCACGCCGTTTCCATATTGGGGCTGACTGGAAGTCCCATATCTGTCTCCATATGTGTCACACATATAAGCTGTTAGTTGCATTCCTAGGTTCCTTAGAGTGTTTGCTGTTATCCTAAGTGTATGCATCATCTCTTAGTCCTTCCATTATCATTTCTCAGTTACTGTTACTGTAATACGGGAGTGGGCTTGGATTTTGCATGTGAATGGCATAGGCGCCGAAGCCAGGCAGTCTGGATTTATGCCCCAGCTCCTCCACCTATTAGCTCTGAAACTTACGTACTGCATTTAGACTCAGTGTTCTTCTGTATAAAACAGAAATGTTCGGAGCTACTTCAAAAGGTTGTTATGAGGGGAGAAGAAAACAGAACGTTTAGAGCACATAGAGCAATGCCTCTGTCTTATTGCACAGAGCAGCCTCACATAACTGACTCCATCTTAGCAAAGGACTCTCTTATATTTCATAGGACACTTTGCCAGCAAGGACAAGATGATTTGCTTAATAAATAAAATAAAAAGACTGCATCCAGCCAGATGCCAGACAAGGACATCAACAAGCTCGCTCTTCCACTATCAGTCCTCACCAGAGGACTCCGTGGTCATAAATGGCTCAGAACTGCCATCTTAACAGACTCCGTGTTGCTGTCATTCATGTTAAGAACCCAGCATCAGCTACCAAAGCCTCTGCCACATCAAAGCCTCTTCCTTGCAGGACCAAAGGACTGCCTGGCCCAGACCAGGAGATTCTTTCTGGCTTCATTGCTCTCCTGTCCTGGAGCGGGCCGGGGCCCCTGGCACCCCAGAGTGTACAGGCAGGCCCCCAGAGCCTTAGTTCATTCATTTATCCATTCCTCATAATCCAGTGTCCAATGAGCGCCCCCAGCAGGGCAGGGACGGTCCCTCCCGGGGTTTACGTGACCGATTCCTTCTCAGAGGCGGCCGTGGCATCCCCTGAGGGTCCCCAATAGGAGTCCAGAAAGGTTGGTTAACCCTTTCTCCTAACTCTATTCTCTTGTGTTACCTTCTTTTCGGTTTGTAGAATGTTCAATCTATATCATTTATGTATTGATTAAGTGTACTGTTATGTATATAGCTTGTGGTATTGACTGACATTGTAGAAGGACACACGTGTGCGTAGACCTGGCTTTCTCTAACCTTGCACTGCTTGTGAGACTTAGCAACCTTTGATGAATATTATCTACTATTAGTGGTAGAGACAGGAGGCAGCCAAGGGTCCCCGGGGAAACCCTGCCTTCAAGCATAAAACAGCCTTTCCTGACGGATCCTCCCCACCCCCTTTTTTTTTTTTTTTGCCTGTCATCCAGGCTGGAGTGCAGTGTTGCAATCTTGGCTTGCTGCGACCTCCACCTCCTGTGTTCAAACAATTCCCCTGCCTCAGCTTCCTGAGCAGCTGGGATTACAGGTGTGTGCCACAACACCTGGCTAATTTTTGTATTTTTAGTAGAGATGGGGTTTCACCATGTTGGCCAGGCTGGTCTCGAACTCCTGATCTCAAGTGATTTGCCCAACTCAGCCTCCTAAAGTGCTGGGATTACAGATGTGAGCCACCACACCTGGTTCTGACTGATTCTGAATAATGCCTACCTGCACACTGGGAGGACGCGGTGGGACCTCAGGAATTTTGTGCCATTTGCAGAGGGGAGGAGCCTGGCCTTTCCTGTTCCTGTGTGGTAACCTGCGATTCAATCCATGACATGGGGGCCTGTTAACAGGAACTCCTCTCACTCTGCTGAGGAATTTTTCCTTTTGCCCAATAAATTCCACTCCTCACCCTTCTATGTGTCCCTGGGGTAATCTTTCCTGGTTGTGTGACAAGAGCCCATTCCTTTTCCTACAACATTTGCATTATGTTCTTTTACCATAATTACGGCAAATCTTGCTAATTGCTCTTTTGAAACATGGTTGTCAGAGATGTTGTCTTAGGTTTTGGTAAGACACACTTACAATCTGCTGGAACAAAATGCCGTAGACGGAACGGCTTAACAACCAACACTTATTGCTCAAAGTTTCCGGAAGCCAGAAGGCCAAGGTCGAGGTGCTGGCAGAGTCAGTGTACGGTGATGACCCTTTTCTTGGTTTGCAGGTAGCTGTCCTCTTGTATCTTCATATGATGAAGAGAGGGAACGTGCCTCCCTTTGCCTCCTAGAAGGGCACCAATCCCATTCACGAAGGCCCCACCCTTAGAGCTAATTACCTCCCAAAGGTGCCATTTCCAAATACCATCACATTGAGGATGTAGGCTTCTGTGTGTGAATTTTAGGGGAACACACATATTCCATTCGTAGCAGATATGATCGACACATCACAGAATTTGCTCATTTAATGTATAAAATTCAGTTTTTGCTGCACTTAGCTTTGCGCCATAATACAATAATCTATGTTGTTTTTTAACATTTTAGTCTGTACTGAAAGGAATCTGTGCTCATTTGTAGTAGATCCCCAGTCACCCTGACTTCCCCTCATCCCCAGCAGTCACTGGTGTACTCTCTGTGTCGGCAGATTTACCTATTCTGGACATCTCATATAAATGGAATCATATACTATATGGTCCTGTGTGACCTTTCTCTTGCCTTTAGCATAATGTTTTCAAGGTTCATCAACACTGTAGCATGTATCAGCACTTCATTTCTTTTTATTGCCAAGTAGTAGTTCCTCGTATGCCAGAATTTATCCATTTGGACATTTGGATTGCTTCCATTTTTTGACTATTATAAATAATGCTGTTAAAATTTTTGTTCAAGCTTTTGTGGGAATGTATGTTTTCATTTTTCTTGTGTGTATACTTAGATATGATGTGATCATATGTACAAGTGTACAAGTTTTGTGGGAATATATATATATATTTTGAGACAGAGTCTTGCTCTGTTGCCAAGCACCAGGCTGGAGTGCAGTGGCACAATCTCGGCTCACTGAAACCTCTGCCTCCTGGGTTCAAGCA